AGATCTCCAGTTTTAAGGTTGCGATGTGCTGTATGCCACTCTTGACCCACGATCAGATCTGGGAAGTAGTTTGTGGTCCATCTTTTCCAGAAGCTATTAACTATGTTTTGAATGAATTCAAAACGGAGTTTCGGATTTGCTGACTTTTTAAAAGGCCCACTTGGTACTCGTGTTGCGGAACGGCCTAAAAGTAGGTCGTTTGGGAACAAATAGGAACCATCTTTTGAGGACCTTGGATGACGACCTATAGGTCTCTCATTAATTAGATTAGCAACCTCAAAGAGTACCATTTGAAGTTCTCAAAACGTTAGGATACTTTCTCCAATGCCAGCTTTGAGTGATCTTTTGACTGATCTGATGAGAGATTCTAATGTTCTATTTTGCCATGGTGCATCAGCTGGTTAGAAGTTCCTTTCAAAACCTTCCATAACTCCAAAACTTTTAAGCTTCTCCGAATCTAAAGATTTCGTAACATTCCCAGGTTCCTGACTTGCTGCGACAAGTTTCGTGCCATTCTCGGAATAAATCTTTGAGTGATATACTCTGTGTGAGACGAATCTGCGTAATACCATAAGAAACCTTTCTGTGCTGTAGTCAGGTGCAAGGTCCAAATATACAGCTCTGGTTCCAATGTAATTAAATATCACCCCATACGCTTTTGATGTAGTACGCTTCTTAACTGCGTCATGGATCGTAAGGGGTCCAAATAAGTCAATTGATGTAGAATACCATGGGGATGCCGGTTTGAGTCTTTCTTTAGGAAGGTTTCCCATTACTTTTCCTGATAGTTTCTTGTCAAGTTTCTTACACTTCACACAGTTGATCTTTACAGATTGGATCATTTTAAGTAATTTGTTTATCCAGAACCTTGTGCGGATCTTGCTTGCAGTTGTAAGAACTCCGTGATGCCCCTTAGCATGAATGTACTCCTAGTAAAGACGAGCAAATCGATGCTGACATGGTAGGAGTAGGATGTCTTTCTTGTTGTAGCCTATTTCTAGCTATTTTTCAGCACGGCCACTTTTCACATATATGCCATCATCTCGTAATCAAGGACACAAACGTCTGTACATGTTTTATATCGTTCTCCATATTTCGCTGTGCCTCTTTGATCCAGAATACCTCCGCTGTCTCTACATCTTTACTTGTTATTTCCTGTGTTGCGTTCTCTGCGATAAAGCTTTAAAATCATTGCTGTCACTCTCGATAGACGGTTATAATCTGAGAATCGTTCGATCTTGATTCTAGACGCCAAGTCGTCTTTAACAGTTACATTCCCTATCAGGACTACTCTCATA